GAAATGTTAATAAGCTAGTGGGACTATAATATTCACGTAGTCTAAGAATCACCCTATAGATAATTTATTAATTACAAAAGGAAAAAGGTCCTTTTTATATGGAGAGTTCCAGCAGTCACTGCCCTAACCGAGCTTTCCCACCTCTTGGGACAACCGGGCAGGCCTCCTTCCTGATGGGATGCTCTAAGAAGTGCATGACACCTGAGCAGTGTTGTTGCCAGAAGTGTTTAGCCTGGGTCTAAACATGACACAAGACAACCAAATGCAATATAGGAACTCTTGATTGGATTTGGGGGAGCAGGAGTAGATATGAGCACTTTTATAAATAATTAAATAAATTTAAATATGGCCTGAATAGTAGATAACGTTAAATTAATGTCATCCTTGGGTATGATATGGGAGAGTGATGATGTAGGAGGGTGTGTTTATTCTTAGGAGATTCAGGCTACTTTCTAGATAGTTCAGCTGATAGAACATACATATGGGAAACAATCGGAAAATGTTACCAATTAAGAGTTTCCTTTGACAAACTGTGTTTTGCTTTTCCTTAAGGGAATTAGGATACACATTCCTGATGGCAGATTCAATTTTAAAACTATAGCTCCTTGAAATGAAATCTGTTCTATGTTTCTTAAGAGATTATTTTAAAATTGTGCTGCCATTTAGACTCAAGTATATATTTATTTGACAGCGAAAAGTTTTGCATGAACTGAATTGTTTTCTTGGTAGATCGAGGAAGCCAGGCACGCAGTGCACTTTCTGTGTTGACGAACTGTTTGTTTTACTCATTTTCATTAAATGATTCAGTTCTGGGGAGATAACATTTCCTACCTTCAGGTGCTGCTTGTAGGAGCCCACCCACCCTTTTAAACTTTTTAAAGACATTTCTCCCAATGATACCAGGGAGGATTGCTAGCCCCCGGGACCTGGGGGAGTTGTCTGGTTTTGTCTGGAAAATTCATGCACATTTGACTCTGTGTCCTCTCTACCCAGTGCTTTTAATCTTTACCCCCGACCCCCCAAAAAAAGTCCTTTCCCTGATTTGCAGTTAAAATCAACATGGCAGAAAGACTTCTTATTTCTAGTCTAATAAAATTCTTCTTGAAGAATAGCATTTGTAAATAGTGCCTTTAATTCATTCATTAATTGCTAAGTGGAAGTTGGTGCCGGGGACACAGTGGTGATGGGTGAACGGCCCAGCGTCCGGCAGGGCAGTTCTGGCCCCGTGGGGCGAGGGGCAGGTCCACATGCCGGGAACTGGGCACAGATGGCTCAGGTGCTACCAAGGGAGCCCGTAGAGGCCGAGGTGCGCGCGCAGACCTGCCCTGGGCTGGCCGGTCACTGGAGCCGACACGGCAGCATGAGCAGCAGAGACTCACCAACCACGGAGTCAGGCCACAGCCTGTCGGAGTGCCTGCAGAGGATGTTTTGGGGTTAAGGTCACCTTCCCCAGTTCCCCCAAAGCGGTCCTTTCTGAGCAGGATTGCCCTTGCCTCCTGACCCAGGGTGGGGCGTTTGCCCTTGGGCCGCCCTGACCTTCACTTTATTGGCCCCCACCCACAGTCAGGTCCCTGCTGTTCTTGGAGGATTCCTGGGGCTACTGTGTGGCTCTGGTTTGTGCCTGCTCTTCTCTCTGCCTGGACTCTTCTTCGTAGCCCCTCCCATGTGCGGTGAAGTGCTTCTGGCCCTTTAGTTTAGGTCGGGGACTGCTCCTACAGACGTCCCCGGCTTCATGTGTGGCCCTGACTAGCTGTGTCCTTCACATGGCAGAAACTCCACGGCAGCCTGGGGGTCGTTTTTTCCGTCGTCGTAAAAGGGTAAATCCTTTCACTGGCACGGGGGTAGTCTGTCTTTGTGGAGCCTGGTGCCTCAGCTTCACCCAGAAATGATTGTTCGAAATGCAGATTGGAGGCCTTATCCGAGACTCTGATGAACCAGGCCTGGGTGAGATGCAGCACCCCCGGGATCCTAAAGCACCTTCCTGGCAACTTGTAGGGTGACTTGCAGAAATCATGGCCAGAAAGTCCTGAGTTGTAGGGAAACACGTTTTGAATCTGAAGAAGGAGATCCTGGAGTGTTTTCTGGAGGAGGTGGTATTTTCTCTGTGCCTTAAATGAAGAACAAAAATTGAATGTTGAAAGTGAGTTGATGCCTGAGAAGAGCAAAGGCTCAGAGGCAAGAAGCTGGAGTGCAGGTCTGTGAAGGGGCTGGTGAGGAGGAGCCTGGGACCCAGGGCTCTGGTCTCCTGGGTTTGGAGGAGGAAATGGGATGCCTCCAGCAGAGTTTTAAAGAAACTCTGGGCTTAGGTTAGATTTTTCTCCATCCTGAGGCTAGAGCCCGACATGGGAATGTGTCACCATAAAGGTGCCTGTCTGCTCAGATCTCTTCCTCCTAACATCTGGTGACACTATGAACCTTAAAAACTTATTTGCAAAAAACCCACCACCTCTTCCCATGTTTCAGATAATTTCCCTATACCCTGGGGCGGCAAAGTTTTTCTGTAAAGGGACAAGCAGTAAACATTTTGGGCTCTGTGGTCTCTGTCATGACTACTAGACTCCACCATTGTAGCCCCAAAGCCGCTGCAGACAGCGGGCAAATAAATGGGAGTGGCTATGTCCCAGTAAAACCTTCCTCACAAAGACGAGTTGTTTGCCAGATTGGGTTCACGGGCCAGTTTGCCAGCCGTGGTGTAAAGAAAGGCAGTTTGATTCGTTTCTTCCAGCCGTCAGGACAAAGTAAAAGAGCAGGCAGTCCTGCCTGCGTGGGGAGCCCAGGGACCCGAGGTGGTGATGGGTGTGTGACCGAAGTGCAGAGATGAGCCCTGTGCAGACAGACGATCGCTGTCTGCTGGGGAAGGGCTTCAGAAAGCCCCTTCAGCAGCTGAGAATATCTAGTGCTTTATCCTCCTCCATCTTTTTCTCGGAAAATTGGCTTTGTATTTAGGGAAGTTCTTGTTTGATGAAATAATATGCTCTTGTCACAGCTTTCCCTAACAATCTTTTTGTTAAGCCGCTGATTGTCGCTGCCAGTGTGGAGACCACCCTTAACTGCTGGGGCGCTTCTGCTGCTGACTCCCAGCGGCCGCCGTCCTTCCGCTGGTGCTGCGTGGGGCGGGCATTGTATGTGGGCTGAACCGTGAACGTGTGAGCATCCTGGGAGCCTGGGGCAGCACATGTGGGGATTTTCTATTACCCCCCACTTTCCAAAAGAATGCAGGGTCCTGGTTGCTCGAAATAAGGGAGCTTCTTTGCAGCTGTGTTCTCAGGACCTTTGGTCATGTTTAAGCCATAAAATGTTTGTCCTGACAGGTGTCCAGGTGATGGTCAGGTCCAGACGAGGTCAGGAATAGTTCATGTCCCCAGGAGTGGAACCCAGAGCCAGTCTTCACTTTCCTGTCCAGCGAGTCAACCAGTGCAGTGCAGTGTCGATTTCACTATTCCTAGGACAGGTCTCTAAATGCAGTCCACATTAAGTGGCCCGGGGATGTGTTGCTGGAAATTTGAAACGATAGTAAAGCCGATGTTATTTGGGCCATTTGAGATGGCATCCATTCTTGATTAGATGTTGACCTCCCTTTGCCCTTTTAGGGCATTTCTGAAAAGTTACCAAATCAAACCGTGTTTTCCTTTAATATACATTCCTGCTTCAGGTGACCTTCACTCCCACTTTTGATGGTCCTGTGCTCTGGGCCCCTCCAACAGGTAATTATAGATGGATGGTTGGTGGAGGGCGTGCCCATGTGAGTGACGGCCAGCAACGCATCTGGTCTGTACCGTGCAGCCCACCTCTATACCCTAGAGCTAGCATCCTGCCTACTCTCAGTTGATTTCATTGCATGATTAAAACAGGCAGGAGAACAAGAGAATCTTGAGGCCCATGTCTGGCGCAGAGAGGTGTGTGCCGGCTCTGGGCTTGTAACGTGGCTACGTACCCTTCAGCCAGAGCCACCTTCTCTCAGCCCATTTCCTGTTCCAGTCGGGGCAGGACGTGCTGTCAGAGCGCAGAGAGGCACGTGCCGGGTGCCCGTCTGCTGGCCAGGACACTGATACAAGGCTGCTGGGGAGTATTTCAGAATGATCTGGACATCTGGGAGTTCCCTGCCTTGCCAACAGAAGGAGTCATTTTTATATTCCACCCTGAAAATGTTAAAAATAGCAATCAAGTTCTTAAGTTAGCCTGTAAAGCTACCTTCATACAACTGTAGCTGAAGTGCTGTACACATTCAAAAATCTTTTCAATTTCAGTAGCTCAGGTGTTCAAAAAGTCAACATAGAGTATCTAAAATGTAATTGAATGGTGGCGTTTGAGGACTGTAGGCAGGAGATTAAACAGAGTCCACATGCTTTCTGGGTTCTTTAAAAATAAGGTTTAGAACGCTCTCTGAGTATTTTCTATGATTAAGCAGTGTATTATATATGCTGTTGATTTGTAACTTACAGTTTTGTTTTCCTCAATAACTCTAGATCACTAACATGATTATGGCGCTTATCCTCTAGGATTTAGGACAGTTTTTGATTTACAAAATGGAATGACAGGGGGAGATAGATATTTTTTTTCTTTGATAACCAATAAGGATGTGAAATGGAGGAGGAGGAGGGTGGTAAATTGGAAGACACACTGGTGTTTAAGAAGGAGCTCACAAGCTCAGCAGGAAAGCGAGACTCCTGAACGCCCGACATCCCCCACCCCCGAGGGGAAAGGTGGTGATGGCAGGGCCTGGTGTTGGGGTTTGGGCGCTGACCACAGGGCAACCACAGGGCTCCCCTGGGCCCCATGCAGGGCTGTGTGTGGGGAGCAGCAGGAGGGGAGGACAGAGAAGCCGGCGGCCCTCGCCGCATGTGGAGGAGATCTGTGTGGACCGGGGCTCTTTCTCCTGAGCGTGCCTGCAATTACTCATGTGCTGTGTGTCTATGGAAAAGACTGTTAAGCTGTCAAATCGTGAACTACCTCGGTAGTTCCTGATGCCGTGATCATGGTTTTGGTCTCGTTTCTTTTAGGTTACCCCTGTTTCAGGCCAGTGCTTTTGCATTTCTGGCCCCTGCTCGAGCCATCCTGTCTTTAGATAAATGGAAATGTAACACCACAGGTAACTGCAGTTATTTCCACGTACGTCATTGGGGTCCCTTAGCGCAGGTGATAGAAGGGAGGCCTGGATGTGCTGCCCACGGCAGCCTTAAATCCTTTCTGGAATCGGGCACAGAACACACAAACCAACAAACTGCTTAGAACACTCCAGTCTGTGGATCGTGTTTCTGTCTCTCTCTCTCTCCCCACTCGTTCCTCCCTAACCCCAGAGCAAGTAAGGACCAGAAAGGACCTCATTTCTCTATGCTAATGAAATTGATAAATACGGGAATGGACTAGAACAACATTTGTGCTATTTTTCTGCCTCTTTCTTTCAGTGGACTTTATGAACCACCAGTAATCACTCTCTTTGCTGCATCAGCATCCCTTCTCTGAACCATCTCTGCTTTTGAAGGATCTGGCTGCTTTGGTTTTCTGCAAATGACTTTTACTCCCCCCCCCCCCCAACCCCCGCCCATTTAGTGATCACAGAGATCCTTAAATAACCCGATAAGGTCAGGAAAAAATCAGATAGGGGGTTTGAGAAAATCAGATAGACCTGTTGTACTCTCAAAATACTGTTACACTTTTCGGTTCTAGGAGCAAAGTTTTCCAACCTTCGTTTCCTTCCTTGCTCCTAGGAGTTAGTTTGTGACCACTGATTTGATTTAGGAACTGGAAAAGGCCCTCTGTTTTCTCTAGGTTTTAAAAACCTCAATCAGCAACCTTGCTCTCAGGCATTTCAGTTAGCTTAGCTGCTTGCAAAGGTTGGTCTTTGTGTGAGTCTGGCACTAGCAATGTGCATCCCCAGTTCAGTCAGCTTTTGACACACTGGGAGCTCTCAGTCGATGAATAAATTTGGTTACATTAGCACTGGGGATTCCACCTTTCAGTATGGTAAGCCATACTGTTGTAACTTGAATTTTAGGGATGGGTATTTTATACAAATATACTTAAAATAGGGAAGAAATTTCTCCTTACAAAGAGTAAAATGAATATATCCTGTGAAACATCAGTGTCACTCCAAAAAAATTTCTCTGTTTTTGTTTTCAAGATGTTTCAGTGTCCAATGGAACCACAGAGCTGCTACACACAGAGCACATCTGGTACCCCCGGATACGTGAGGTAAAAGATGAGCATTGTCTGCTTGGGACTTCTTTGTGTTTCTTCCCTGCTTCACTGTTGGCTGTGCCCAAGAAATTGTATTTACTTGCGCTAAGCCCTCCTTTTCCTTTTCAACTTCTGACATGTTTATTTGTGTTGTGAAACTAAACTTAGATTGACATCACCGTAAGTAAAGCATGCAGAAATGCTTTGTGCAACCAGACAGTGTTGTTTCTTGCCCTTCATCTCCCCCCCCCCCCCCCCACCCAGGGCATAGACCAGACTTACACCCTCCAGCATAACTGGCCCGTTACCAGCTCCCTTGTAAGGAGCGACAGAGTCTGGCCTATGGGCAGCAGAACTCTTCATTCCTGCCTGCGTTTGCCCATGTGTGTGGGAAGAATTAAAGCTACTTGTCTGCTCTGGTGCACTTGAACAGAACAGGGCACTGGAGTCCTCAGCCGTGAAGAATGGCTGACCGTTTATCCAGATCTTCCCAGACCTGGAAGATCTTTCACCATTAGTTCAGAATGGGCGCAGATACAGCCGTTCGCCACAGTAGAAGCGTTCCTTTAGAATTTGTGTCAATAGCACTTCCTTCTAAATGTCCCTCAGGGACTCACTCTAGAATCTGTGATGGAGTGTTCCTCTGAGGCTGGCTTTGAATGTCCTGTGTCTTGAGCGGGAATGATAAATCTCTCCCTTACCTGTGGAGAGGAAGGTTGGCTGTGCATCCGTCGGTGCCCATTTCTCTAACGCTCCTATGTCAACCATGTCGTTCATAGGTTGGCTAGACACCCCACTCACCCGCTGGTTTCTTTTGAGGCCTTGGGAATTTTCCAGCTGTGTCATGCCTGTTAGGTAGTAATTCGTTGCTTGGCAGAACTGTCCGGTGTGGTTGCAGGTGACATTTGGAGTCTACGATCTACTAAGCTCACTCTCCTGTCTGTGCCCTCTCTCGCTCCAGATCCAGGGTGCCATCATCATGTCCTCACTGATAGAAGTGGTCATCGGCCTCCTCGGCCTGCCCGGGGCTCTGCTGAAATACATCGGGCCCCTGACCATTACGCCCACGGTGGCCCTCATCGGGCTGTCTGGCTTCCAGGCGGCAGGAGAGAGAGCGGGGAAGCACTGGGGCATCGCCATGCTGTGAGTGCTCTAGACCACTTAGCATGCACCTTCCCTTCCCACACCTAGCGGCAGCCTCGTGGCGTATTTTGAGCATTTACACAGACCTTAGGAGATAGGTTTTTTGTTTTGTTTTAAGTAAGAATAATCTGACAGTTTAAACTTGACTTGTTTCTTGCCAGAAAGTTATTGAAGGGTTTAAGACCCAGAGGTTGGGAAGTGACATGCAGTCAAGGTATTCCAAAGACCTGTTTGGCAGTGATGTGTAGAGGGAGGGTTGTAAGGTTTCACGCTTTAGGAAGGGGGTGTGAGATGGTGATGCCATTAGTTTTTAACTTCTGAGGTCATGCCAAATCTCTTGCACATGAGTGGAGATACCAAGAAGCCAATCCTTTAGATGAGAATCAAAGAAACCTTCCAGGTTGGCAGGAGACAGGACGCTGCAGGAGGGTGTGTTGGCACTGAAGGAGACCTGACTCCCCAGGCTCCTGTCAACACCTGCGGGGAGGCCGTGGCCCCTGCTGGAGTCCTGCCAGTCATGGCTGGTCCTTCCGCGTGGAAGTGCAAGTCAGTTAAAGATGTCATTTACCCCTCGATGTGTTGTCAGTAAAGACATCCGGGACTTTGATAATATTATAAGATTGATTATTAGAGCCATAGAACTCTGTATACCACAAATAGAACCCGCATTTGTTTTGTGTGCCTGGAGAGCACATGTAAGAGTTGATATTGTCATAGGGAAATGGTGCAAAACCTGGAATTTTGCCAACCAGTGAAATTTCTAAAATAAATAATAGAAGGCAATTCCCAGTTGTTTTTGTCTTATGAAGTCTTCTGTCATTATTAAACAGCATGTGGCACTTCTTGAGCCTCTGCATTAGTAGTGCTTTACCAAACACTCGTATACATCATAAGTTAAGGTAAGTACCAGTGTTATCCCCATTTAACAGCAAAAGAAGCAGAGGAACAAGATGCAAAGTTCGTTGCCTAGGCTCACACAGCTAGTAAGTGGCTGGGATGGTTTTCAGAACCCAAATAGTCTGACCAGAATTTACCCTGTAACACTTAATCCTGCCTCTCTGTGTTGGAATCAGTAAAGCGCATCCTTGCGAAATTATAATCCATCTGTCCTTACAAATTAAGGTATGTGAAAATGTCCAGGATTGTTCTTAATTTTCTCATTTCACTGAAGGTTGGTCAGTATTGCCCACACCAGCATGGGTGTGGAGAAGGGCATGGAAGAATGTTCAGTGAAATGCAGTAAGTTCTAAGAAGGAGAAGATGTAATTACCATCAGACAGTAAAATTAAAAACCAACAGCGAGAGGGTGAGCAAAACCCCAGACCGCTTAAAAGCTGGAAAGCACTGTTATAAATCACTCCTAGTCAGAGGGGAAATTGAAACTTCACAATTACTGATAATTTAGAAGATGATGGTGAGAACCGACCAGTCCCATAGAGTAGTCAGAATTGTTCTCAAAAAAACGCACCATCTTGGGGCACCTGGGTGGCTCCTTCGGTTAAGTCTGCTCATCCATCTCCCTCTGCTCTCCCTTCACCACTCTCTCACTCTCGCAAATAAATTAAAAAATCTTTTTAAAAAACCCGCACAATCTTAAAGGCAAAGTACATGAAGAGCTTATCTCTAGAAACTAGAAAAATAGGACAAAAATGAACCTAACGGAGGCAGGGGACCAAAAATTAATACTGATACAAAAATGGGGAAGAAATAGAAGTGAAAAATCCCAACATTGGTTCTTTGGAAAATAACATGTGGACACAATTCTGGCAAGGCTAACTGAGCAGAGAAGGGAGTGAATGCACAAATGGAGGATAAAGCCTTAGGTCCAGGGAGGAAGAGTTCTAGCTATGCTCCCTGTCCCCACCTTTAAAAACAACAGCAAATCAGTAAAATGGGTGGTTTCCAGAAAAGCATAAAAACCAAAACAGACTTCTCCTCACCCTGATCGCTAAATGTCGGGGTTCCTCAGAACATGGTTCTGGACCGCCTCCCTGCCAAATGCTTTTTCCCTGGGGGACCCTGTCTAGGACGACCCCAGCAAGTCTCTGTTATGCTGGTGACTTCCATAGAAGCCTGCAGCCCAGACCTCTGGACACCAGACTTAAACTCTAAGCCCCAGCCTGCACCCTCCAGGTGTTGTGACACAGGACACCTCAAACTTCACAGGGAGAAAGTGTCAAGCTTTTGACTCCCTCCCTCCCCAAACCAGTACCCCCTCCTGCCATCTTGCTCTCAGCCAGGGCCACGACACACACCCAGCTGATGAAGCCAGAAGCCCTGCAGTTGTCCCTGATCCTTTGCTTTCTCTCTTTCCCCACGTGCATACCATCTTTCTGCCTCACCTCCCTGGCCAATCCCACCACTCGACAGTCCTCACCCTTGGTCATTGCTTCCAAACTGGTCTTCAGCTTCTCTCCTGCTCCCTTCCTGCCCTGTGAAGTGCTTGGCCACTCTCTGCTCCGTTCTCTTCCTTTTGAAACTCTAATTGGACACAAGCTAGAATTTCGGAAGCTTTACAGGTCTTTTTGTTGTCTGTGTCTGAAACCTCCCTCACTGTCCCTCGTTCTATTTACATCTTGCGCCTGGGCACTTGGGGCCTTTTCACTCCGGAATCTCAGGTGTTTGGGGGGTGGGGTGGTAAATGATCTTGAATTATTTCATGGATGCCTTCCTCCCCTCCGTTCCTGCTTGTCCCTTTCTGGAACTTTTAGAATGTTGGACCTCCCAAACCCTTCCTCTGCTTTCCATTTCTTCATTTTTTTTCTCTATTCATGAGAAAATTCCTCGGTTGTATCTGTGCATCCACTGTCAAGCTTTTCCCTTCTGCTCTCATGTTTTTTAGTTTCTAGCCAGCTTCTTTTGTACGTGGGATGCCAGCTCTGCAAGGTCTTGCTCAGCGCTGGTCCCCATGGCACCTCCAGCGCCTGGCCCACCACCTGTCACAGAGCAGGTGTTGAGTAAGCACCTCGTAATAAGAAAGGGGAGGACTGGGGCTTGTGAGTACACCCCTGACCACAGAAGAGGCAAGAATGCTGTCAAAGGATTTTATCCCTAAAAAACTTTCTGGGCTCCAGTGGTTAGTATATTATATTTCAAGGAAGGGCAAATTCCTACACTGGTTAAGTGGTTCTGGCACTTTGAGAAACCAGGGAAACTTCCCAGCCAGTTTTATCTAAATGGCAGATTCTGACAGAGCTAATACCAAAGGGACGGCCTGGATCAACATTTTCTTTCCTCCCTAGAGTTGGTGTCAAGCCCCAAGCTTAGTTCAGATATGTTTAGGTAGTAGCGTGCTAAAGCTCAGCATCTTTCTGTACTTTAAGTCTCCTTGTGATCTTTTAAAATGCTAGTGTGCAGAAGACTCTTTTCAGAAAAAGGCCTTAGTATCCAGCTCTGCACACACAATTTATTTTTTTAGTGCAATATCTAGTAACATATCTTGGAAGAATGTTCTTTGGAACATGGCTTGGGAAAATGATGCTATAGGTAATAATAAAAAAGCCAACACATTATGTGTGTCATTTTAGGAGCTCAAGGATGATTAAATACTAGAAAAAAAAATTTTTAAGATTTTATTTATTTGTCAGAGAGCGAGAGCACAAGCAGGGGGAGCAGGAGGCAGAGGGAGAAGCAGGCTTCCCGCCGAGCAGGAAGCCCGATGGCAGGGCTCCATCCCAGGACCCCGGGATCGTGACCTGAGCCGAAGGCAGACGCTTAACGACTGAGCCACCCAGGTGTCCCTAGAAAATTAATAAAATTCATTATAGGCCCATGGTGGATTTAATAATAAAAAACCATGGTGACAATCAAATTCAGTCTGTATCTCTGCTGCCAACTGTTAGCAGTATGGGGATAGAAGGATCTTTCATGAATAAGATTTTTAAGTGCCTCATTCTTTAATGGTGAAAGACTTAAATATCAGGCCTGCCTGCTGAAATCAGAAACCATGATAAGCATGTTTATTATTACCGGTATCATTTAAGGTTGTTCTGGATGTGTTAATCAGTGAATAAGAAAATAAAGTAATATGGGTCATTCCCAGAGAACTCAGAGAGAAGGGAATGGTGACTTGCTCTTACAAGAATTAAACCACATTTCCGAACTTAATAAAAATACTGTAGCCCTGGAAGGATAGACATTAGTAGAGCAGAATAGGAGGGATAGAAACAGAACCAAGAAGAAATTAATATTTAGTGTATGATGGCAGTCATATTGGAAATCATTGGGGAATAGAAGAATTATGTGAGAAAAATTAGATGATTTGGAAAAAATTTAGATTCCTGGTTTATATCAAATTACATTTCAGTTGAATTAAAGACTTAAGTATAGAAGGTAAAACAGTAAATGTGCCAGAAGAAAATGTACATAAATATTTGATCATGGGACGGGGAAGTTTTTTTTTTAAGATTATTTATTTTTGCAAGAGAGAGAGAGCAGAGGGAGAAGCAGACTTCCCGCCGAGCAGGAAGCCTGATGCAGGACTCCATCCCAGGACCCTGGGATCATGACCTGAGCTGAAGGCAGACATTTAACCCACTGAGCCACCCAGGGGCCCAGGGGAAGGTCCTTCTTAAAGCAGATATTGAAAAGAGAAAGATTGATAGATTTTACTACCGATGCATTTAAAACTCCTATCAAAACCCACTGAAACTAAATTATAAATGAATCTGGGATGTATTTACAACAAATTCCATTAAAAAGGCTAATGTCCTTAATTTATAGTTTCACTAACTAAAGGAGAGAGTCTTGGTGGAATAATGAATGAAGGATATCATATGAGCAGCCATTTAACCAAATAAAGGGAGTAAAAATAACTAATTAGTGTGTAAAAGAGTTACCCTCCCCAGTTACCACAATGCTGCACAGGGATTTTTTTTTTAAGATTTATTTTAGAGAGAGAGAGAGAATCACAAAGCAGACTCCCCGCTGAGTGTGGAGCCCGACATGTGGCTCGATCCCAGGACCCTGAGATCATGACCTGAGCCAAAATCAAGAGTCAGCCACTTAACTGATGGAGCCACCCAGGCACCTCTTCACAGGGATTTTATTAGCAGTGGGGGTAGTGGTGGTGGATCGGACTGTACCGACATGGGTTCCTAAGTCAACCAAGAGAGGCACAGTTAGGGGCAGGTTCTCAGGGGAGAGGATGAATGGGTGACATTTCCAACTCCAAGCATAGGTCCTAGATGGGACCCGTTTTTCTTGAAAAAACATTTTGATTACTTTTGTACAATTCTCAAACCTATTCAAAGAATAGTAAACCCCCATGTACCATCACCACATACTCAAAGTCTCTTTTCATCTCTATCCCCAAAATATATTAAAATTACAGTCATTTGAAGTTTAACAGTAATTAAACAGGGAAATCTAAAGTATAGTTCCTCCCACTCACTGCCACCCTTCAAAAAAAAAAAGTCTTAATTAACTAGTGAAAAGTTAGTATTTGCCCTGTATACATAAATATGAACACAGTGACGTATGTAGCTTTACCAGGATTATCTGCTTTTCACCCTAACAGTTTTTTGGGCTCTTCTCTCTAAGACCGTGTGTTTAGATCTACTCCATTCTTTGTAAAATTGCACAATGCTAAATAGTATGAAATAGTGTAGAATTTATGAAACCATTCTCCAGTTGATACTCATGCTTGTTGTTTAAAATATTTGCTCTTGTGAGCAATGCTGAAATACATACTCTTAAGTGTAGTGTAAGGAATGAATGTTAAAATAAATGACAATAGTTTTTTAAATTGATGAAATTGGTAGAGATTTAAAAGTGTAAGACTATGGGGCGCCTGCATAGCTCAGTCGGTTAAGCCTCTGACTCCTGATTTCGGCTCAGGTCATGATCTCAGGGTCCTGGGATCCAGCCCCGTTGGGCTCCCTGCTCAGTGGGGACCCTCTCCCTCTGCCCCTCCCCCTGCTCGCTCTCGCTCTCTGTGTCTCTCTCTCTCAAATAAATCTTTAAAAAAAAAAAAGTATACGACTGTATTGCAGTGAGTAGCAAATGGATGTTTTTGGTCTCTGGGTGGGATTGTAAACTCATCCAACTTTTATATATTTGGCAGTTTGTATCAGAAGCTTTTTAATAAGAAAAAAAAAACTTTATAAGGCATTTACTATTTGGCAGATCCATTCTAGTCCTGGGAACCTGCCGTAAGGAGATGTGTAGACAGGTGCCAGGGAGGGCTGATCTGTCACAGTTGTTTATGCCCCCAGTGTCACACCATATGGAAACTGTGTGACAAGATGTGGTATGTCCATAAGGTGGAATGCTCAGTAGCCAGCCACGAAGATGCTGTTGCTGAGTTCTATCTGTAGAGGTTGTGGCATTAATAGGGGCTACAAGCTAGTTGGGAAATACACTGTGAAGTCTGATCCCATTTTGGGTCAGATGATGACCTGTTTGTGCTCCAAGGGCAAGGGTAACCTCAGGCAGTCCCGTGTCCCTCTCTAACCCCGGTGCCCTGGACCCAGTGACACCCTGTAAGTATCCAGGGAATGGAAGCTGTTCAGAATCTATAGGCCAGAATGTTACATCGTTGTTACCCAGCTGGGATGATAAGTGATCTTCAGGATTTTGTCTTTTTGCTGATCTGTCTTTTATAATTTTCCTATATTTTAGTGTGCATTGCATTGCTTGCATATTTGTAAGGTAGAAGGCCAGCAAGCCAGTGGTTGGACAGAACCCTGGCCTGAGGACCTGGAGCTGGCTCATCTTTTCCCCTTCTCTGCTTGGCCTAGATGTGTGAGCTCGGGCACAGCTCTCCCTGTGCCCCCACCCGGCCCCGAGCCTCTACTCCTGCCACCTCTCTGTGATGGGACTGCCTGCCCTACCTGCCACACAGGCTGTTTGAGGATAAACATAAATTGGAAGGGGATGGGTTTTAGAGTGGCAGGAAAATGGAGTGTTCATCTGCCTAGTCCATTCCTTCATTTGTGCTGCCAGATTTGGCCTGAGATCTGGGTGTCCTTCCTGGAATTCTCTATGTGCCCCGCCTCCCCTTGTAAACATGCTTTAAAACGTGAACACCACAGTGCAGGCGATGATAGGTGGGTGTTGCCTGAAATAATGATGATAATAGACTTGGGGCCTTTTGGGATCTCATAGTGTTCACTTTGAAATAAATCAGCATTTTTTTGGAACATGAAAATTTTATGTTGATCTAAATTTAAAGTAAACCAGGGGTACCCGGGTGGCTCAGTCATTAAGCGTCTGCCTTCAGCTCAGGTCATGATCCCAAGGTACTGGGATCGAGCCTCTCATTGGGCTACCTGCTTGGTGGGAAGCCTGCTTCTCCCTCTCCCACTCCCCCCCGCTTGTGTTCCCTCTCTTGCTGTGTCTCTGTGAAATAAATAAAATCTTAAAAAAAAAATAAAGTAAACCAGTTTTAGCACCTGTCATTACCATAACATTTTTTTTTTAAGATTTTATTTATTTATTAGAGAGAGAGAATGAGATAGATCATGAGGGTCAGAGGGAGAAGCAGAACTCCCTGCTGAGCAGGGAGCCCGATGCGGGACTCGATCCCAGGACTCCAGGATCATGACCTGAGTCGAAGGCAGTCGCTTAACCAACTGAGCCACCCAGGTGCCCCCATAACATTTTTTTTTAAGATTTTATTTATTTGTCAGAGAGCGAAAGAGAGAGCACAAGCAGGGGGAGCAGCAGGCAGAGAGAGAGGGAAAAGCAGACTCCCCGCTGAGCAAGGAGCCTGATGCGGGACTTGATCCCAGGACCCTGGGATCATCACCTGAGCCAAAGGCAGATGCTTAACAGACTGAGCCACCCAGGTGTCCCACCATAACATTTTTTTTTTTTTTTTAAGATTTTATTTGAGACAGAGAGAATGAGAAACAGAGAGCATGAGAGGGAGGAGGGTCAGAGGGAGAAGCAGACTCCCCGCCGAGCAGGGAGCCCGATGCAGGACTCGATCCCGGGACTCCAGGATCATGACCTGAGCCGAAGGCAGTCGCTCAACCAACTGAGCCACCCAGGCGCCCCATAACATTTTTTTATTAAACTTCACCACCCCGGGGGAATTGGAATAGCTTGGGTACCATGTATATTTCCAACCTCCAACTGGTACTAGCTCGATGACTTTTGTGTTTGGGCTGAGACTCCCATCACCAGGTGAGCAAAGCATTTGGTGGATAGGTGGGGAGAGGATGGAGTGGCATGGGCCAGTTCTCCAGCTGGCTATAGACAGCATGCCCCATTAGGAATGTGACAGTGAAGTTGCACTTGACCGGCTGTCAGTGGAGCTGATAATTCCATCTCCGCAATTAGAGCTGTGCCCAGGAACAATTAAGCTGAGCTTTGAGAACCCACTCTTGTGCCAGCTCTCCCTTAGGTTGTAAGTGAGAGTGCATCCCTGTGGGTGATGAAACACGTCATTGCAGACCTTCATTGTGTCAGCGATGGGAAGCCATCCCACACTGGCCACAGTTGGTAGCAGGTGGATGAGGATGTGTCGGGTCCTGCTGCAGGGGAGTCACCTCATGTCGCTGTCTCCTGTGATCCTCAGTGCAGCTGGGTCTGGAATGTGGGGCTCAAGGTAGAGAGCCTTCTGAGCCAGCCCCAGCATCCCTGCTCTTAGGATAGTGTGGCAAAGTAGTTCAGAGCCCAGGCTGTAGAGTTAGACCCCCTGGCCCTCCCGCCTGCCCTGCAAACCCTGGCTGCATGATCTTGGACTGCTGGCTTCGTCTGTCTGGGACGTGGGTGGTCATAGAAGCCACTGCTGCAGAAGGCTGGGATGATGGGCAGGATGGCCTTCACATAGTGTCTGACACACACAAACCTCCCAGGAATGTTGTTAATACTGAATTCTGTATGTAGCCTCCTTAAATGTTGAAGTTTTTTGCTTTTTGAAGCAATTTATGCTCTTGATACATAAATCACAAAATACAGAAAAGTCTCAAAACATATTGCCAGCTGTAGGCAATCCTTGTGAGCATTTTGGACCCTGTCCTCCTTACCTGTCTGCACGCGTGTGTGCGTGGACATGCCCGTGTGGCAAGTGCTTGTTTTGTAGTTAATTCATAGTTGTGATTATAGTGTGCATTGTCTTGTATGGGTATCTTTTTCCCTTACGTGGTGTGAGCATCTCTCCTGAGTATGTGCATTCTTCAGGTTTTCTTACTCTGTTAAGGAAAATTTAGCCAAAGCATTTATATGGCAGTTTCATTTAGTATCAAGATATGCCTAGAACTAATATCTTTCCCAAAATGGCATTTCCAAAAGATAAGATTTCCCAAATAACAGTTTTGTGTTTTTTTTTTTTTTAAGATTTTATTTGTTTATTTGACAGAGAGACAGAGAGGGAACACAAGCAGGCGGAGTGGGAGAGGGAGAAGCAGGCCTCCCTCTAAGCAGGGAGCCCGATGTGGGGCTCAATCCCAGGACCCTGGGATCATGACCTGAGCTGAAGGCAGATGCTTAATGACTGAGCCACCCAGGCACCCCCCAAAAAACAGTTAATAGGACTAGGAGCTTTCTAGAGAAATGAATATATATGGTCAGTTTTGCTGTTGAAGCTTTGAGTATTATTTTAAAACACAGCCTTTAACCTAGTTTTTCTCTCTCTCTCATCAGGACAATTTTCCTAGTATTACTGTTTTCGCAGTATGCCAGAAATGTTAAATTTCCTCTTCCAATTTACAAATCCAAGAAAGGATGGACTGCATACAAGTTACAGCTTTTCAAAATGTTCCCTGTGAGTAGTCACTTCTGTTTTTTTCTGACAATATTGCCTTTGTTTATGTGAAAGGAAGTTTTAGGCAGGTCTTCCTGGGGGAACTAGGTTGGGATGTTAACATCAGGGTACTAATGACCACGAAATTGTCATGGGCTTAAGGTTTACCAGCGGCAGAAGGTTCTGATTCTGAAATCCTCTCAGGAGTGTGAAGAAGGGCACTGTTCTTGAGACAGAGGGAGATCTGTGTTCCCATGGTCTCTACAAGTACATTGTCCATTATTCTTATTTTCTAGCCAGGCTGGGAGTTAAAATAGCTTTACCTGCATAAAACTGCTCTCTCTAAATGTGATTCCATCCAGGAGTAGGCTCTCAGCAGGCCTGTAATGTGTTTTTTTTCTGCAAAGTACCAACAATGGTGGAGGTCCTGTGGTATGATATTCAGACCATAGGAAGATGTGTGTTTTGCCAGCATCCACCACCTTGGTTGACCTCATGGAGCTTTCCCTTTGACCACTTTAGATCATCCTGGCCATCCTTGTGTCCTGGCTGCTGTGCTTCATCTTCACAGTGACTGACGTCTTCCCTCCCGACAGCACAAAGTATGGCTTCTATGCTCGGACGGACGCCAGGCAGGGCGTGCTTCTGGTAGCCCCGTGGTTTAAGGTCCCGTACCCATGTAAGTACCCTGGCGGCCAGAGGGAGAGGGGTCAGGAGCTCAAAAGGAGCCCCCCTTAGAGGAGCTGGAAGGCAGCAGAAGGCTCTGCAGCTTGAAAAGCCTTCTTTGTCCTAGAATGTCCCTTGAAAGTCTTAACCATTCAGAGGATTTGAGAGCGGACAGGGGGAGGCCCTGTCCCCAGAGGACTGACACCAGTGCTCAGAGACTCGCCAACTTCCTTCCCAGATAAACTAGTTCTTTTGGTTCCACTGGGATGAAATTCTGGACAAGGGGTCTCTTGCCAGGGCTGAAGAAAGCAAGTATAGAGCTGCATGGTACCTAAGCCGCCCACACAGAGCACGCTTGAGTAGGAGAGGCCTGAAGATTAGCAAGCTGACTGCTCAAGCATGATGAGATTTGTGTAATCTTTTAATGGGTAGCTATAATCTTTGTTTTTTATTTGGTCACAGCTGTCAGAAGTAAAGGGATACTCACCAATAGGTGGAAGATGGCTCTTAAGTTATAATTTAAGTGTTGGGTAACTCTTGGCAAGGTGTGTGGGGTGGAAGGTGCAGTCCCAAGCTGAGGTTATCACTTGGATTCACACATAATACTTTCTAGGCCCCAGCCCCAAAAGTGACTTGTGTGAATCTGGTGGTTATTAATGCTTGGTTGTTCTGTTGTAAAGACTCTGTTCCCGGCACTTGGGCCTTTTAATTAGAACCGAAACCTGACCTTAGTCAAGTTCTGCTAATTTATTCCCCTGCTCAGTAGCCACATCTTGACATTTTATGATGATAAGGAGAAAAAGCAGGAAAAGCCAAGAATAGTAAGGTTGGTTTTAAGAAAACTGTTCTGAGCATGTTAAATGACAGTGATGTTGGCAGTTCCTTCTATCGTTGACAGGTTTAGACTTAAAAACGTTTATTCTTTTTAAAACAATCTCATCAGATCATATGATCTAACTATATATTTATGTACACCTGTCCCTTTTCCCAAAAAAGAATAAATGCATGGTTTATAAACAGACATATAATCCGAGATAAAATGAGATGAAACCTGTTGGTCAGGTAGTCAGGAGGGAGGTGTGGGAAGCCGGTAGGAAGAACACATGCTGGAAATCTAAATTATCACTGATTATAAAGAAATAGACAAAGGTATACCAGGCAGATGCTAACAAAAGTGGATGTGGCTTTGTTAACTTCTGGCTAAATAGAATAAATCCAAAATGAAAAGCATTTAAAGGGGGGCAAAGAAAACATTTCTTTTTGACTAATAAAAAGTATAGTTTGCTGAAGGATTTTTTTTAAAGATTTTGTTTATTTCTTAGAGTGAGAGCACAAGCAGGGAGGAGGGGCAGAGGGAGAGGGAGAAGCGGACTCCCCAATGAGCGGGGAGCCTGAAGCGGGGCTTGATCCCAGGACCCCCGGACCATGGCCTGGGCCAAAGGCAGATGCTTAATCAACTGAGCCACCCAGGCACCCCTTGTGAAAGATTTTTTAAAATATATCTGCAACCTGGGGCTCCTGGGTGGCTCAGTCGTTGGGCGTCTGCCTTCGGCTTGGGTCATGGTCCCAGGGTCCTGGGATCGAGCCCCCGCGTCGGGCTCCCTGCTCTGCGGGAGGCCTGCTTCTCCCTCTCCCACTCCCCCTGCTGTATTCTCTCTTTCGCTGTGTCTCTCTCTGTCAAATAAATAAAATCTTTAAAAAAAAAAAAAAGGGAAGAGCACATGCTGGGAGGTCTTCTCTGTGGTGCAGGCCGGTCCCAAGATGAGCACAAATGAGGAACACAGGGTGGGCCCTTAGGGAAGAGCAGCTGTGCATGTGCTGAGACACCAAAGAGATGTCCCCGGGGTCCCCCCTACCCCCGGCCCGTGCATGAGGGGCCATGGCCAAGTGGACTGGGCACCTGGCCCCAGGATGGCAGCGCATGCTGTCGGGCTCCTCCTCACCATAGCCCTTCACTGCCTCAAGCTGCTCTGGGGCCACCGCTCCGGGGGCAGAAGGCCACCCCAGAGAGCAAGAGGGCACACCCTCTGACAGTTTGGCTTAATCTGGAGACAGGTTTCCAGATATCTACAGCAGAGGTCCTTAGTCTTTAGTGTGAGAAAAATTGGTTAAAATACAGTTTTGGGGCCCAAAATGTCAATAGTGCTGAGGTTGAGAAACTGTTTTAAAGTAACAACATAAATTAGGCATTTTAGTTAAAGGGGGTTAAATAACAGTTCAGACAGAAGGCTGGAAGCCAACAAGATTTATATGGACATACGCACACATGTAGTTCACTCTTGAACAAGTGGTGGGGGGGAGGTTGGTGTACCCCACCCCCACCATCAAAAATCTGCATATAACTTTCTTCCCCAAAACTTAACTACTAAGAGTCTTACTAATAAAGTCAACAGCTAATTAACACATTTTGTATGTTACATGTTTTATATACTGTATCCTTAGGAAAAAAAATAAGCTAGAGAAAATAAAATGCTCCTAAGAAAATCATAAGAGAAAATATATTTATACTATTGTACTGCATTTACTGGAAAAAACCTGCAAGTAAGTGGATCAGTGCAGTTCAAACCTGTGTTGTTCAAGGGTCTACTATATATAGAAATGATCTGAAGGAAGAGGGATCAAAAATTTAGAAGAGTACAATTTAAAATGTTGAAATAGATGGAATAAAAATTTTAAAAAATCAAAGTTGAGGGCTGCAGGCAAAAGGGAAAAAGAAAAAGCAGCGTAAAGAGACTAAGAAATAAAAGGCAATTTCTGAAGAAACAATAAATGGCAAAATAAGTATTCCCCCCCACAAATCAAGACACTAAAATGAAACCACAATGCTCTGTCAGTAACAAGGTAACCATATAAAAGATTGCTTAAAAAATACAAAATGTTGCTGGATAAAGGAATTATGGGCATGAGAAACATGTGCTCCAGACCCACCGGGAAATGCCATGTTGACCGAGCATGGCCCCGTCTGCTCCCAGGCGGGAGCAGCCCTGCCCTCGCGCACATCCCAGGCTTGTCTGCACACCTTACTTCCTGTCCTCTTCCTCTTCCCAAACCCGGGTCCCTCAGTGTGGCTTGTGTGGCAATCCAGATATTCAAGATAAAGTGACCTGGGGACTTCGCTTTGTTTCCTAAAGGAAACTATTCAATTTTCCATAACGTGATTTACTTTAAAAAAAAAAAAAAAGAATAGTGCTGATCTTACATTAGAGGGCTGTCTGTATCTGGTGCCATGCTTTCCTGCTGGGATTTAAACTTAGCTGGTGACTTTTCACTGCATTTTCATTTAATGCCACCACCTGGGCAAGATCACCATTGTTTTGTGCCATACTTTGCATAGCAGGGTTAAAAATCCTCTTCATAGAAATATCCATCCCAACAGGAATTCTTACCCCAGTAGGCTGTGTTAAATTGTAATTTAGTAGACACCAAGCGTGGCTTGGAAGCAGCCTCCTCTTCTAACCACTCTCTTTTTAATAAAGACAGAGAACAGACCAGTCCTGGTTCATCTGACTCAGGAACTGTCCGCAGGCATCTAGTGCACTGATGAGTGACACTTAAAAATAAACAAAGATTTTCCCTTCGCCTTGGAATCTGAGTGTGTCGTGTGGAGTCCTTTGCTGTCCTGATTGCTTTCACCTGTTTTCCTTCCGTAGTTCAGTGGGGCCTGCCCACCGTCTCCGCGGCAGGTGTCATCGGCATGCTCAGCGCGGTGGTCGCCAGTATTATTGAGTCCATTGGGGACTATTACGCCTGCGCAAGGCTCTCCTGTGCCCCGCCGCCCCCCATCCATGCGATCAACAGGTATGTTCCTCAGAAAATGGAGTTCTTCTTGGGCCCAGTGCCTCATCACTTGGCTCTTTGGTTAATGTTGGAGAAGAAAAGGAGTTTCAGCATGGAAGCAGCCAGGCATCAGGGCTTTTTATTGGTTGTCTGTCTTGGGACAAGTCACTGCCCCCATTTTGCTCTCATTTTCTTCATTGTAGCATGGAGGGCAGTTCCCGCCCTTCCTTCCGCCTTGACAGCCATGTAAGACACTCTCTCTGAGACCATGCCAGACCTTAAACTCACCACAACAGATGCGAGACACTGCCATCTTTCTTTGCTTGGTTTGGGGTCATGGATGGATGTCCCCTTTGATTTCTTCTTTCCGTTACTGTTCTTAGGGGTAAATGCTGTGTCCTCTATTCACAATTATAATTCACATGTAGAGAAACAAGAAGAGCAGGAATAGGTGAAGTCTGCAGAATCTAGAGACTTATGGGTGGTGGGATTTATCTTCTCAACACACCTGGTGTTCAGTTTCTGGACGCTGAGAGCGAATTGGACCCTGTGGAGGCCTCAGAGAAGAGCGCACTTCAGCTCCCCCCTCCCCTTGCCCAGCCAGCTGCTGCCCTTCTGGAAGGATTGCGTGTGATGAGATCCAGTGGTCTGGTGTCTTAGCATGTCTTGCTTCGGTTCTGTTATTAGTGTTCACACTCCTAGTTTTTACAGCTTTCTCTAATGGATGTTGCATATGATTGAGTTACTTACAAATCGATTGTTTTTAAAAAGTTCCAAAGTTGACAAAATTACAAAGCATTTCCTTCCTGATGAAACTATTAATAGTAAAGGAATCAGATCAGCCAGACAGCCCATATTTGTCTTAGATCCCAACAAATGGCTCTGTTTTCTGGCTAAAAGCCTTTAATTTGGAATGGTTTTTAAACACCTGTGTCTAATGTGTGGTTCCCAGAAGTGCTCCTCACAGTTGAATGAGCATGGGGGATCCTGTTAAAATGCAGGTTCTACTTCAGCAGGTCTGGGGTGGGGCCCGAGACCGCACTTCTAACCTTCCCAGGAGTGCGGAGGCTCCCCGGCCATGCACGCCGCCTTTGGGGTGCAGCCACTTAGAGCATATTTCACTCATTTCCCCCATTGAATGAATGTTTCTCTTTCCCCCATTCCTTTACATTTTAGGGGGATTTTCGTGGAGGGTCTCTCCTGTGTTCTCGATGGCATATTTGGTACTGGGAATGGCTCTACTTCATCCAGTCCCAACATTGGCGTTTTGGGAATTACTAAGGTACAGCTATTTTTCTAATTAAATGGTTGGGCTTCTAAGTGTTGATCCATTTCATCGATTGGTCTAACCACCATGAATTCTAAAAGGAAGGCTTCCAGTTCTGAGGTCACCCCCCCCCCCACCCAAATCTCCTTTTTCTCATTGATGGGTTTCTGGAATGCTGATGGAGGTCTCCTTCCCTTGGCTACCTGGGTAGCCAGGCACTCAATGCTGTCACTACTTCGTAGGCATTCTACAAATACTTATAAGCACCAACTCTGTGCCAGGCTACTGTTCTAGGCGCTTGGGATTCCACAGTGAATAAAACAAAATTCCCGCTGTCAGCGTTTACATTCTAGACAGAGGAAGACAAACCATAGACAGTAAGCATAGTAAGTATAAGAAAAATACAGGGCAGGAGTGGGTATTATTAGGAGTGAGGGTTGGTAAGTGTGAAATAGGGTCAGGCTAAGCCTCACCGAGAAGATGACCTTGAGCAAGGAACTGAACAGGGCAGGTGGAGGGAGCCATGTAGGCCCCCTGGGGAAGGGCGTTCAGGCCGAGGACAGAGCCATCGTGAAGCCCTGTCATGAGAGCAGGACCGCAGGCTGCCCATCAGCAAGGAGGCCGGTGAGGCAGGAGCAGAGTTGGGGGGTTTTGGTAAGAGCAGGTGACATCCTCCAGGTAATGGAGGACCAGGTCACACAGGCCCCAGAAGCTGCCAGAGACAGAGAGGAAGGGCGTCCCCTGGGCTGTGGCTCCATCAGGGTTTTGGGGCTTTTTTGGTTTTTGGAGGGTTTTTTTAGAGAGCAAGAGGGGGCGCGTGCTTGTGCACACATATGGGCAAGTTGGGGGACGGGGCAGAGGGAAAGCGAGAATCTTAAGCCACCTCCGTGCCCAGTGCCGAGCCCAACGTGGGGCCTGATCCCACAACCCTGAGATCATGACCTGAGCTGAAATCAAGTCGGGCGCTTAACTGACTGAGCCACCCGGCGCCCCTCCATCAGGGTATTTTTTAAGGCTTACTTTGGCTGTTATGATGAGAGTGGACCTCGGGGTCAGGGGAGGAGGAGGAGACGGGACTAGTTCTAGATATGAGATGATCCCCCTCCTTACAGGAAAACATCTATCTTACAGTAAAGAATTAATGTGGTTTTCCAACCAAAGCAGCAGAGACCTTCTCTTTCAGATGAAACGGCACGGAGTTAGTGGATTTGACAGGCCACAGCGAGTCCCCCTGGTTGAGCAGGGTCTGGGTCTGGAGTCCTCCCCACAGGCCTCCGCACCCTTCTCCAAACTGACCTGTGACCTGGGGCTGCCCCACCCCACAGCTTCTGTAAGGAACCTGCTCCTAGGCCTTTCACATTTATTACTGTACTCTAGATCCCAGTTGCCTTAGCCAGAGTGCACTGTCTGCACGGCTGGAACGTGCCTCCACCCTGGCTGCTGTACGCTGGGCAGCCAGACACGGTTAGAACCTGCTTGCTGGCTGAGATGGCCATGTGCGCCACAGGTTTCCCTCACCCGAGCCCTGTGTCCTGACTACCTAGGGGCGAGCTGCCGCCTTCTCGAGCTGTCTGACCTCTGTAAGATTAGAAATACCCCCGCTTCCCCACTCCCTGCAAGATTCTATAACCAGACGAAAAGAAACCAGAGACTGTTTGGTTCATCCTGACTGCGAGTCCAGGTGAGAAGGGAGCATGGTCCTGACACGTTCATTTCCCTGGAATTTGGCGGGGCCTTCGCAGAGCCCAGTGTCTGGTGTGCACACAGCCTTGTCGGGTGTGTCCTCCAGTGCCATTGCTGTGTCCTGGCACTCCCTCCCTACCCGAAGGAGGGAGAGGCCAATGCCGAGCCCACAGAGCTAAGGGCCATGCTTCTCTTTAGCCAGTTTGCTGCCTTGACCCTGTGGACAGACCTAGAACGAATCCAAAACACCATACTAGTAAAATTCTTGTAGATGGAGGGACTTAGGGCAACCCAGTTTAACAAGCCAGCTCCCATTCTGCACCCCTTTAAGGCTGATCATCACATCACGTAACGTAACCAGGGTCACTGTAGGGAGTAGGGGGTGTTGTTCATGGAGGTTCCATTCTGAAATGCCACTGAGGTGGTTTGGGGAATAGTTATCTTTATTGCAATTTGAACAGTGCCAGTTTATTCTGAAAAGGCATCCTGCCAGCACTTTCTAATGAGCTAATTGATCTTCCCTCTGAACCCCTTTGGATTATTATCTCCAGGCGAACGCGGCATGCATTCAGGGGCCTGGAATTGGTTTTCATTGCCCTGACTCACAAGGGGGATAATTGAGCCATCTACATAGCTGCCTTGGGGTGGGAAGTGGGGCTTGCAGCAGAAATTTCTTTTTGACCCAGCCATGCGGCCACTGGAGGGACTCTGTCCAGGACGAAGGAGGCACGAGTTGGAGGCTGTAGTCTGCCCCTCATCCAGTGGAAGGACTCGGGACAAATCACTTGTCTGAGTAGAACTGTCAGCTCTGAAATCTGACAGTTCTAGACCTGGATCTGTGCCATCCAATTTGATAGTAGCTGCACGTGGCTCTTTTAAGTTAATTAAAATGAAAAATTAAGTTCCTTAATCACACTAGCCACATTTTAAGGGCTCAGTGGTCACATATATGGCTAGTGGCTGTCGATGGGCAGCACAGATACAGGACATTTCCATCCTTGTAAAAAGTTCTGTGGACAGCACTGGTCCGGGCCATTGGGTCAGACTTCCAGGGCTTATGGAAGGAAGGTAATCTCTGCTCTTCCCAAGGATCTGCCTCCATGTCCTGGCAGCTGTGATACTTGTTACCCTTTGTCCAGTTGTGACGTTCTCTGTACGTGGAGATTCTCAACTGTTTGATCAGGAGATGAGGCTGCCAGCGAGCCTGTTGTGTGCTTGGAAGTTGTCGGGTGGGATTCCTTGTGCAGGTCTTCTCTTCTGAGTGTGTTCCAGTGTCTGTCCCGCAGAAGGGGGTGGCATGATGGGGTGGGGAGGTGGCTGTATGGCATTCCAGCTCTGGTGCCATCACTTTGTCCCAGTGTGACTGTGGACAGATTACATCACCTCCCTGAGTCTCCATGCCCTTGTCTATATATAGACAGCTTGCCAGGCATTGGAATTAGTAAACTGATGTAATACATTTAGCAGAGTCGGGCATGTAGGTACACAGTAAGCAGTAGGTAGCGTCCCTGCTTCATATTTAGCCCTAAGTTTATTTCCAGGGACTGAATAAACCCCACCTGCCCTGACAATGCAGTCTCTTCAGAGGAAGGCCATTTCTCCTCTGCTGCATTCCACACTGTTGAAGACTTTGGAAAGTCAGAAATGAGGTGTCAGCGTTTTGATGGCCCTGGAGATAAAGTCAGAGTTCAAGAAGGAGGTCAGAACAGAGCTAGGGAAGAGATTCCAGGGAGTGGGCAGCAGGAGAGGAGAGGCAAAGGCTCCGTGTAAGCACTGGGGGACAGGGATTAGGCCTGTGTTTCTGATGTTGCAAATATATATAATAGGCACTCGATTGATAGTCACTGAGTTGCTTCTTGTTTGTTTTGAGCATCTAAGGCAGATCAGCCTTCCATGCATAATCTTCATATTTGATTTATTGTTTCAAGCGTCCCTGGGGCCAGCCTCCCCCTCCCCCTGGCACATCTGATCTGCTGGGAGGTGGGCTTTGCACAGCCTGGATGCTTTTCCTCCAGGGAGCTCTTACTCATCCCTCCAGACCATCTCTAGGGAGCCCTCTGCAGCTCTTTAGAGCTGCTCCTCCGTGCTGGGTGCCCACATGCCGTGACAATTGCAGCAGTACAGTGATTTGATCATAAGTTTGTGGCTTACTCATCTCTGTATTCCCCTCCCCCTCCTGTCTAATAAGTGCTAGTCATGTAGTAGGTTCCCAAAAATGTTTGCTGAAAATGGCAGGCTTCCTTATAATGTAATGCAGCCCAGTAGAAGTCATTTTTGCTTAATTCTTCAGTTTGCGTGCCCTTTTTCGCTGCTCCCCTGCACTTGATCATGTGTGGGCGGGGGGCGGGGTAGATCATAGCAGCAGAGCCTGGTCTCTAGGGTCAGCTGGGCCAGATTCGAGCCGGACAGCCATCCCTTCGTTGGCTCAGTAAGAGTCTTCTCTGATTCTTAACCGATTGGCGTTTGGGTCCCGTGAGACGCTGTTGGAAGGCCTAGCCCAGCACCAGGCAGCGGAAGCCCTGTGTGGTGGCGGGCACAGCCTGCATTCGCCTGCGCCGCTCCTCTGTGCAGCGGCCACCCACATGTGCCCCAGAGCACTTGAACTAGTGCCTGGTGCGGCTGACTGGGGGACTAGCGCTTATGTTTCATTTCCTTTTACTTAAATTTAAGTAGCTGTCTTCTCACCGGAATCACACTTGAAGCCGTATAGACACTCCCCGGGCGCTTCAGGAACCTCTTTTACTCAGCTTGTGTCCTCGGGGTACTTTCCTGGAAGAGGCAGCATACAGCAAGGGCCAACAGTGCAGGATCCTTGAGCCTAGTGCCCGCTCCACATCCCACTGCCTGGGGGACAGCAGGCTAGGTTCGAAGTTTCTAGAAGGCAGAGATCAGGTTGAACAGATAAAGATGAGACCACGTGGAAAATATTATAATGGTTCTGCAGAAGCCCAGTGTGGGAGAGCAGAGCCTTGACATCAAGGGAGACTTTTTTTTAAGAGGAGGTAGCATTTGGGTAGTGTTTCGAAGGATGTGTCTGGAACCAGCCAGAAGGGAGGATGTGAGAGTGTTCTGGGTAGACAGGCCTAGGGATGCCTGAGAAGGGGTTTTATTTCATGAGCACCAGAGGATTTAAGGGGGGCAGAAGGGCACCGACCTCCCAAATCACAGTGTTTGAAAGGTCACTCTGCCACAATGGAGAGGACAGGGAGGCAGAGGAAAGGCCAGAGTCAGCAAGCCCAGGTGGGAGGCTGTCATTATAGCCTCATGCTGGCCAGGCAGTGTTAACACCGTTTTACATCTTGTCTCATTTAACCCCTAAAGCAAAACCTCGTGGTTTATCTTTATAAAAGCAAGGATCCCGCCACCCAGGGAGGCCAAGTGACTTGTCCTGGTCACGTGGTTAGAGTGGAGTGGGGTACACACCAGGCAGGGGGCGCTGAGAATCCACACTCCTTGCCCTTTTGGCTGTGCCACCTCTCACGGGCAAGACACCCTGAGGAGAGGGGATTCCAGAAGTATCTGGGACTCTTGTCTGATTCAGGGTGTGGGGAAGATGGAGACGAAGGTGAATCAGCTTTGGGGTGGGTTAACTTGGTAAAGGGTGATTCCAAGAGCCCAGAAGAGAAAAGCAGGAGGAAGTGGGGTTTTTGCATTTGACGTTAGAAGGTCATCCCAGCCACTGACTGTAAGGGCATTCGAAACCCGGGACAGAGCTGGAGCAGGGCCATGCCCAAAGTGACATCACCCAGGGCGCCAAGAAGCAGAGGCCGCGCCCTGGTGCTGCCTTCCTCCCAGGGAGGTGGGGGGGGGGAGAGGGACGGGGGGACAGGATGAGAAAGAGGAGAGGGAATCTCTTCACTCTGGGTGTCTTTATAGTAGTTGTGCCCTGAGATCAATCCTCATTATCTGACAAGACCTCTCAACTAAAAGTTTGAAGAATAATCTAGGGGTTGTCTCGGGCTTTTGTCACATTTGCCCCCGGGGTGGGGGGGCACTGGATGAGAATGGGTGCAGAACTGGCGCTGAGTGCCGTCTGGCTTCTGGTATGTCCCCAGGTCGGCAGTCGCCGGGTGATCCAGTATGGTGCGGCCCTCATGCTGGCGCTGGGCATGATCGGCAAGTTTAGTGCCCTCTTCGCCTCCCTCCCGGATCCGGTGCTCGGCGCCCTCTTCTGTACTCTCTTCGGTAAAATCCCATTTCCTTGGTAGCCTGACCTCTCTCCTCTTCACGTTTGCTAACGAATCCCTTCCATGAGATGGAAGGTAATAATACATTTCTGTTTAAAAATCCAAAGTGATACACCTTGAAAACATAAAAATCTTCATCCATCTCTGAGTTGAATTTATGTTAAAGGTAGAACCAAATGTAGCATACTTGTGCTAGAAAAAATAAGATGACCATAATCTTTAATTGGTTTATCTAATCGATTTAAATTCTCCCCTAGTGGCCATTTAAAACTGACCATTTTTACCACGGGATTTGACATGATTTATGTGCCATCCAGTTGTGGTCAGGGCCCAGATCTTCTGGTGGGTTTCCCAGTTTAATCAAAATGTTTGCAGAGAGGTTCTCAGGGGGCAACTGATGTCCTTAGTTTTCTGCTTGGTCTAAAGAAAGTGTCATGTGATGTTTGTGTCCCTGTGTCAGTCCAGATGGTGCTTAGGCCAAGAGTCATTTGGATCAGAGAGGCAGGTGGTCCCATTTCAACCCTGTCCTGTCACTGTTCTGTGTCCCAGCTGGTTTCTGGTGGGACAGAGAAGGGACGATGTGGGGAGGCTGTGCATGGCCCGTCACCCATCTGTAGGTGAGCTCAGTGCAAATTGCCGTCTGCTGTTTCTCTCCAGGAATGATCACAGCTGTTGGGCTCTCCAACCTGCAGTTCATCGACTTAAATTCTTCCCGGAACCTCTTTGTGCTTGGATTTTCAATCTTCTTTGGGCTCGTCCTTCCAAGTTACCTCAGACAGAACCCTCTCGTCACAGGTAAGGAAAACTGGCCTCAAATCTTGGGGGTAGTTGGAACCCCAGCCGCTGGTTCACAGACAGCCCATCCCCAGTCAGAGAGGGCTTTGGAACTTCAGGAGTTGTCTCCTCAGATATTCATCCATGTATTTCATTCAAGCCTTGCTCTGCCGCCGCTGATCTGGAAGCCCCCCCTCGGCATGAACTGGCGTGTGCATGTGACTCATGTCCACGTTAAGGTCTTTATTGACTGGGACTCTGTCTTTTGGGAGAATGCCTTTGTGTAAAACCTTTTGATTTGTCAGACTAATGCTTTATGAAAATGTATAATTTCTTAAAACTCTGCTTCATAGACTTTCAAATACATGTCTTTCTACTGGGATTATAACTACTTTGAATTCAAGATTAACCTTTTTTTTTAAAAGATTTTATTCATTTATTTAACTGACAGAGAGAGACAGTGAGAGAGGGAACACAAGCAGGGTGAGGGGCAGAGGGAGAAGCAGGCTTCCTGCAGAGCAGGGAGCCCGATGCGGGGCTCGATCCCAGGACCCTGAGATCATGACCTAAACCGAAGGCAGACGCTTAACTGACTGAGCCACCCAGGCGCCCCTAAATTAACTATTTTAAAGTGAACGGTTCAGTGCCATCTTAGTACATTTCCGATGTCATGTAACCACCATCTGTATTTAGTTTCCAAAACCATCTCCTCACCCCAAAATAAAATTCCACACCCATTAAGCAGTTAATCCCTATTATCCCCCCTTCTCCCAGCCCCTGGCAACCACCAGTTTTGCTTTCTGTTTCTGTGGATTTACCTATTCTGGATATTTCACATATATGGAATAATACAATACGTGATGTCTGGCTTCTTTCACTTAGCATAATGTTTTTGAAATTTAGGTAAAAATATTCCTTTTCATGACTAATATTCCATTGTGTGTGTATATATACACACACACACCATAATCTATGGACACTGGGCTGTTCTCCCCTCTGACAGTTGTGAACAGCACAGCTGTGAACAATGGTGTACCAGTGCGGTCCGTCCTCACTCAGCTAGCCGTGTCCGGGAAAGTCACTGTGAGCATGGAGTTAGCAAATCCTGACCCACCCCTTCTAGGGCGACAGCGGCCAACAGCAGGGTAACCCCTCTAACACAGCACGGCACGGCCTCAGGGAGGCCTGCTCTTAGGAACAGTAGACAGCACTCGGGGGCCATCGTAAACAACGAAATCACCAACCCAAACCACAGAAATGGGGAGGAAGGGCTATCAAACAGACTGCTGCAAGCACACTTGAGATGAGGTATGAGAGCTGAGACAAGGAGCCAGAGCGTTACCTTGTTTAATCTCCGCTGGGATCACACATGTTGGGCGACCCAAAGTTTGTGCTGCTCTGTGAATGAGCGTGAAAGCCAGGAGTACTCATTTTGGGTTTATAGATAAATTTGAGGGTGTAGGTCAATTCACAAATACAGAATCTGCCAGTAGTGGGGATCAGCTGTATTTGAGTCGTTGCTCTCAGTTCTCTTGGGTATATACCTAGGAGTAGAATTGCTGGGGGATAGGGTAATTCTAGGTTGTAACGTTTTGAGGAACTGCCAAGCTCATTTCCACCAGTTATGCTCAGGGGTTTCTATTTCTCCACATTCTTGCCAACACTTGTTATTTTCCGTTGATGATCATATATTTTAAAGATTTTATTTTATTTTAGAGAGAGAGCGCTCGGGTGTGCACATATGTGAGTGGGCGTGGCGGGGTGGGGTGGGGTGGGGCGGGCTCCCCGCTGAGCTCAGAGCCTGACGCAGGTCGTGGTCTCATGACATGGAGATCATGACCTGAGCTGAAACCAACTGAGCCACCCAGGTGTGGGAGCTTCTGATAACAAGGAGATTCTTGCTGCTTTTTACGTTTTAATATATCACATTCATATGAGTTCATTTATATACATCCAATTGTTCCTAATTAAAAGCAGCTAAGCACAAATCAGTGACCCAGGATTCTGAAACCCTTTATCTGATTGCAAATACCACAAATATTTTCATTGTCGTCTTACTCACTTTGTAATATTTTCAGCCTTACAACAGCCATCTTTTTATTAATTTTTTTCTTAATCTGCTAACACCACACCCCAGTGGCTTTCTAGTTCATTATAGGGTGAGTTTCACTGTTAGATTTATCTTCTGTGGACCACTTTTGGGGAATTTTCCTTATAGAGATAATCTTGATTATTGTTGAAATTATTTATAACAGTTTAAAATGTTACTGGCAAAAATTTGTCTGCTCCTGTACAACAGAAATTTGCACTTTCATGCATCACATTGGTGATTGGTGCCCACCCCAGTGCTTCTTCCTGACTGTGGCAGTGACCCTACCACTGTGTTCTGTTTCCAGGAATAACAGGAATCGATCAGGTGTTGAATGTTCTTCTCACAACTGCTATGTTTGTAGGAGGCTGCGTGGCTTTTATCTTGGATAACACCATCCCAGGTATGTGGTACATACCCAACATGCCTTTTCCACATGGGAAGTACTCGTTCTGCCAAATAAATATGGAAGCAGGCAGAGTGAATCAGTTCAAAGCCATCGCTGGTTAAAACGGTCTTCAAGTGGTTAAGACACTCCCAGCCTCCTTTTATGAGGTTTTTTTGCTGATAAACCTAGCGGGTTTTTTCCTCCCTGCTGAGTTAGGAGAAAGCAGGAAGTCCCTCACCCGTAGGCACTCTCCAGGCTGCCTGCCTCCTGTCAGCTGGCCTCAGTCCCTGCAGCGGCTTCTGTCAGCTTGCTCAGACGCTCCCCTGAGCTGCTGACAGCCCGTGGAGTTCCTCCCCTCCTTCCTGAGGCGAGCCCCCCACCAACTAAGACCAAAAGATGGTGAGTATGGCGGGCACAGGCTGTTGCCAGGATTGGTGACTGAGGGACGGATGGAGGCGGCTGTCTTCCCTGACGCCCGGGACCCTTGTTCCTCAGCATTCTATGCCCAGTGCTGGGCCCTGGACGAGGATGTGTTGTGGGCCCTGCCTCGCAGCCTTCCCAGCTTCCCAGAGGAGGCTGCTGGTGCTGTTGGAAAGTGCTGCTACGGACACGCTGGTAGATTGCCCTTCCATCAAGGAAGGGTGATGCTTATTCTTGAGCTTGAAGGTTTTGTTGAGGTATTTGCCCTGAAGACTGCACACCTCCAAAAAGTCTCAATGAAGAGGTTGCTGGGGAAACTAGGGATGAACACATCAGGCAGAAGGAATCACATGCACGAATCCGTGGCACATGTTAGATTCATGGATGTCATAACTAACACACGCTCTGAGCGAACTGAGAGGGAGGCACAGGAGTCAGACAGATGGAAACGAAAGCTTCGCTACAGAAACATTGATGGGAGGGCATGGTTTAGATGTAAGAAATAATGATGTTCCTTATATCGCACCAGGGACTCGAACCCCTCGTCTAGGCTTGGGCAGAGAAGTGTGTTGTCTGGTGTCCCATGTGCCAGTGCACCTCTCTGCACTGAGAAGATTTATGAAGTCAGCCCAGGGCTCAGGGGTTGCTGAGCCCTCTGGGCCCAGATCATTCTCCCTGACTCATCTGTCAGGGTATAGAGTGGCCCCAGTTGTTAACTCCAGTGGAAGTTCACCCTCACAAAAGGGACATGACAAGTGGGGAGCACAAGCGAGTGTATCCCTCTCCCTTTCTCCCTCCCCCATCTCTCTCTCTCTCTCTCTCTCACACACACGCGCGCGCGCGTGCACGCGCACACACACGGAGCAAAGTAGGATAAAACTCGGTATGCCTAGATGGGGGGTGGTTTGTCCTGACCAATTGTTGAAGGCATTATAAATGGTACAATGAAGACTGGGTCCCTTTTTGTAGAGATCACATTTGCAATTTAGAAGTTCTTTTGTTGTTTACTGAGAACAGATTTGGGGAAGGAGATGGGGAGATGGAAGGGCAGCCAGCCAGTAAGGGGGGGACCGTTCTGATGACCCTGGAAAGCAGTAACGTGGCACAGGCCAGACTTCAACAGTGACAGTGGAGGAAATGGGTCACGTGGAAGGACAGGGAGGAGGCAGAGCCATCAGATGGCTTGACTGTGGAGCAAAGGGAACAAGGATGGGTTGGCGATTCTCAGATTTCTGGCTCAGGCACCTGGATGGCCGAGTGCTGTCAATTCCTCCACAAGGGCTCCTTGCTGTCCTCCCGGCAGGTTCCATATATGGGACGGCACACTGGGCAATCTCAACTCTTGGTGGAACTGTCAAGCTAAACATTCCACTACATTGTTTTGTGTGTGTATGTCTGTGCGTGTGTGTTGCAGGTACTCCAGAGGAAAGAGGAATCAGGAAATGGAAGAAGGGTGTGGGCAAAGGGAGCAAGTCGCTCGATGGCATGGAATCCTACGATTTGCCATTTGGCATGAACATTATTAAAAAATACAGATGCTTCAGCTACTTACCCATCAGCCCAACCTTTGTGGGCTACACGTGGAAAGGCCTTGGGAAGAGTGCCACCAGCCGGAGTTCAGACGAGGACTCACAGGCCACGGTATAGCTGTAGATCACCCTGTGGCCCAGCCGCAGTGAGGCATGAATCTGTAGTTCCTTGCTGAGTAACAAGCAGTAACATATATGTTTGTATATCTGCATTTACCTTCTGCACCCAGAGCTAAGACGATTACAGATAGCTTTTTTGTTGTGGGTGGTGATTGTGTCTAATATCGTGTCTCACCTGTCTCCTTATTTAAGCCCTACCCCTTGCCCTTGAGAGCATCCATTGAACTTCCTGTCCTCCTGTGGGAGTGGGTGTTTGAAATCCACAGCAGTTCCTTGGTTTTGGTCTCCTCCTACCACCCTAGGCTAGCTTTCTTACAAGCTGCTGCCACGGTCCAGGGGCTTTCTGTCCCGGAAGCACCTGGACCTGCTTCTGTTTTATTTGACCTCGGCCTGCAACCCGCAGAGACCCCCCTCTGGTCAAGGGGCACCAGTATCCTCACACGGTCACAACTGACGGTCAAATGGGATTCTGCGTTCCCTGATCCTCCTGCAGGAGGAGGCTATTGACCTGATTGAAAACCATGACATGGTTACCCCAGGCCCATGTCTGTGCGTGGGTAAGGTCTGTACAGGTATTATTAGAACTGAAATCTGTTTGGGGAATTGGAGGGAAAGGGAAAGTACCTGGAAGTCCTATCTGATTCTCAGCTGCTCTTTCTTGGTGTCACCCTGGCCCACGCTGGGCCAGCACATTTCATGGGCTTCTTTTTCACTCTGATTGAGACACTCTTTCTGACATTTATCACTCTGGGCTGGTGTGATGGGTAGAGTGCCACACAAGGGCACTAAGCAGATGTTTATGGGAGTCTCGACTCTGCTGTCATGTGGATGTCGGTTACTGTTGCGCTTGTCTATAAATTACAAGATTTTATTCCTATTTAATGTTATTGACTATAGCAGGTTTTTGAAATCAGTGTTTTCCATGTGACCTTCTTACCTTGCATCCCTGTTACTTGTCCCCCACCCCTCACCTCCCGTTAAGAAAAGAACCAGCATTTGTAAAGCTGTGGACACCATCAGGGAAGCTTGTCGTCATGGCTTTTGAAGGCCAGTAACCATTATTGTGGTTGTGTTTTGTATTGCTTGATACCATGAAAGTGTAAATACTGTAATGCCTAATCTATTTATCAAAACTGACTACTGGACCAGAGCCCAGAAACCATGGGTTAAGTTATACGTGAATTTGTTTTGTGAAGAAGGGAAGCTGGGGGCAGGTAATCAACGGAGCCGCCATATTGAAGGGTCGGGCATCCTGGTAAATTCATCACTGCAGTTCTGTTTCGAGTCTTTTCTGGCACTTGAGGCTTAAGGAGACTGTGTGTGGGTTGCCATGTTTTGTGCCCACTGGATCTTAATTTTGCAGAGGGGAAGATTAGACCTCTACCCTGGCCAAATGCACCTTTCCTTTTTAAGTCATTGCAGAAGGTGGTGAGAAAAGCAGTTGGCAGGGCCTCTTCCGTCGAGTTCTCGTTCATAACACTAAATCCTTTCTGAAAAAATGACTTCTGCGGAATTTGGTTTGAAATTTGTCAGCCAAAGGAAAATCCTGAAACACCAAGGAGTGACCTCGCCGCGTGAGGTAGTGCGACCTAGGCGGTTCTTTGACCTGGTTGAGCCTTGGACGGCTGCAGGTGTTCCTGTCTCTGACGGCAGGGCACGGTTCTCAGCCGCCGTGTGTCCACAGGCTGCGTCCCCTGCCCCCGCAGCTGGCTCTGCTCCACCACACTGGCACGTCCTTGGCAGCGTTATTGTCCCCCTAGCCTCCCGGACTCTAGGGAAGCTTGGGGCTGCAAGGCGTGTTCTGGCAAGAACAGTTTCACAGCCGCTGAGTTGTATGGCAAGATCTGGTTGCCGATTAAGTAAAAAAAGATTAGCTTCTAAATTGCATTTAATTTTGTGTGTTGTTTTTAAAAATTGTATCTGATGCATGGTTAACTTTAGAAGCACACTGGTTAACGACTTTCATCCCTTTAACTTGGTAAGCACTCGATGCCGAAGGCCCTCCTGCACCGAGTCACTCTCAGTTTCCTTCTATTTGTGTTTTTGCTCAGCATCTCTAATTTCGCTGCTCTGAAAAGTGGGGAAAACTGTTAAACATGCCAGAGATTCTAGCTCTCTAGGGGAGCAGAAGGACCAAATATCCAAATAAAGGCATCTGAACCATTGGATAATCTTAACTTTCAACCTGGCATCTTCCCTCCCAGTGAGTGACACTCAGGATATGTGCTTCAGACATCCAGAAACCCACTTGGGCTGGGTTTTATTGGGCGGTCCCAAGTCTGCTGGTCTGGGGGATGTCTTCTGCAAGCATTTGAATGTGGAGGGAAGCCCTGTACCCCCGCCTTCTGTTAGAAATGAGGGGTTTTGTCCTTCTTGTTCCATTGGGGCCAACTTTAGATTCCCTAAGGCAGGGGGAAGGGGGACAGGAGGTGGGGAGGAAAGAGGGCAGCCCGACTAGAGGGCCCGTTGAGTCTGGTACTTTCTGCACAGCCTGTGAAACTCACCTCGGCTTGAGTGATTTGGAGTCTCCTGATGATTAATGTCATTTTAGACGGTGGTCCTGCTGGCAGATATGCTACAGAATGAGTCTGTAATCAAGAGAAAAATGTATTCGTCTGCTCCTTAGGCTTAAGCACATGCATGAAAGGGAGGTTTGGGGGAACACAGTGGCCGTTCCTCGTCTGCGTTTGTGCACTTCCCACTTACGTTGTTGGCCTGCGCTGCTGGGGCGGGTACCCACCAGGCTTTGTTTGGCCAGTAGAATGTTTCCAAGGGTTTGGGATGTAAATGTCCTTGGGCGGGGCATTCAGACTCCAGTTTCCATAGTGACCACCTACCCACCATCTTTACATTCACCTTGGGGGACTTGATGTGAGAAGCAGAAAGTATTTATAAGGACAGTAGGTGCTGTCATATCACGGTGGGTGGCAAGGGAGATCCCACCACTGGTTTTAATAAAACACCTAACATGGTTGACAGAATGATGGGAAATGGCTCCAGTCTTTGTCTCGTTAGGGAATTAAACTGAGATTCGTTCATACGAACTGAGACTCTTTCTTAAGAGGGTTTCGGATGTTAACTTGTAGTAAGTTTCTGGTGATGGGTGAGGGCAAGAGAAGTGGCTTAACCAGGCCAGCTAGAATGAAGCATCACGAGTCCCCAATGGTTTCCCATTTTCATAGTAACAAATTCACACACAGGATTTGCTTTATACTGTAGAATACTGACTTTCATGATGACGACTTGGTTTATGCATGAATCTTGCAGTATTTCCATATAGTAAAATAACATTTCTACCCAGGATAATAGTCACAGTTTTCCAGGGAGGGAATGATACAATTTTCATGACAATGTCATGTGATAATAGAATTTCTCCATTGATGAATCTCTAGTATGTGTGTATACTTTATTTACCCATGCGTCTACTTTCTCACCATGAGCCAACTTGTTCCTTCTTCAGTTCACGGCCCTGCTGAAATACCAGTACCGGCAGCTTTGACTTGAGGTTGGCAGTTACGATCTTCTGTAATACCGATGTGGCAGGCGTGGCCAGGCCAGGTGGAAGGTGGATAGGTGGCTGTGGCAGAAGCCTCATTCCGGAACCTGGCCGGCGCGGGGCCATGCTGTCGCTGTGGGTGGGGCCTGAGACTTCGGGGGGGTGGGGCTTGGCCTCAGAGAAGCGCCGGGGGTTTTCACACGCTGTGCGTGTGGTGCTCTGTCCCCTTAGGATTTGGACACCTGCCACTTGACCTGCAGTCACATCCTGAGTAGCGCAGGAAGACCACTTGCAGTGGCAGGCATTCGGCTCCCACCCGTGGACGCGGAAGGCACGTTAGCGCTGGGCACCCCTTTTCAGCAGCCTCACACACATTCCTGTCCTTTGAGGTTGTTCTTGACCGTGCCTCGTCCTCACTCCACAGAAGCCACATCTGGCGTCCTTAGACTTGCTGTGTTTGTCTCCTGGCACGTAGGGCACCCTCACCAGTGTTGCCGTCTTACTGACAGTTCAAGTTAATACCCTTTTCTGTTCGTTGGTAACCTTTGTTTGACCCATTAATAAATTTCTGACTGTTCTTAAAGCAGTGGGGATGCCTATATTTTCCTTGAGTTTTTGTGACTGACTTTGGCTATCTACCTTTCGGGGATTTTCTTTGTTTTTTATTTTTATTTTGCATACCGAGGGTATTTGGGGGTGGGGTTGTTTTTTGAGATGTGTAATTCTTTTATGGAGTTTTTAAAAAGAATTTTCATATTGTTTTTCTAACATGGCTTCATTAAACGTTTAAGTATTTTAAAAATATGTAATATTTGGACCAGATGTTGTGAATAATAGTAGAGATAAAGCTATTTTATTCTGTATTTTTAAAACCGTTCTGTACAAATAAAAGCTCTCCTGGACACAGTTCTGTGTTCATGTGCCTCCTTCTTTGGCTGGTCTTTAAGAAATTTGCCATTAATTAAAAGTCATCACCTAGGGAAGGGAAATCGACTAATAAAAAACTCGCTTCGGCAAGCCTCAGATGTTACCGTTGTCAGGGTCCTGGAAGACTCAAAAGGAGGAAAGCAGGAGCCAAAGCATCCTCTGTTCTGCGCCCAGAGAACCACAGCAGGCGCCTTGGGGGGAAGCCTGAGTGAGCCTTCCATTCTGGGATGCACCCTGCTGGACTGTGGGTGAAACTGCGCGTCTCTTACTAAGGCAGCGACATCTGGAGGCTGGACAGAGAACTGTCTGTCCACGCGGTGGGACCAAAGGCTCCCAGAGCAGCTTCAGCCGGCCGAGTATCGGCGCTGGGGCAAGGAGCTCTGAGGCGTGGGTGCCATAAAGGCCCGGAGCTGAGCTTGAGAGCAGCTGGTGAAAGCTCATTCTGTCAGGCCTCCCGGTGGGGCATGAACATGGGCGCAGAGGGACTCCCATGTATTTCTTCCTTTAGAGCAAACTTAGAGTTCCCCCATTCCTGTCTCCATCCGTGCTTCGTCTCTGGCATTTCGGGCCATGAGTGGCCCCCACAGCTACTCCCATAGGGTGTGCATTCTGCCGTCTCCTGTCCCCAGTACCCTGACCTGTAAGCCGCCACTGGGCAACCAGTCAGTCACAAGGTGAAATGTTTACACTATGGACATGCAAAAAAAAACCACCAAAAACAAGGCATTAAAATAATACCCGTGTTCCCACCTCCAGCGGGACAAAAGCACATTACCGGTACTTCAGACTGACCTCCTCCCACCCCCCCGCCGTGCCCCATCCACCAAGAGAGAATCACTGTCTGGGTTTTGGGTTGGTCCTTCCCTTGCTTCACAATCTTGCCCATATATACGCGTCCGTAAACAGTTTACTGTTTAGTCTGTTTTGCATGTTTTTTAACATTATGTAAAAAGAATAACGATGTTGTATGTATTATCACATTTCACCCACTATTGTGAGATTCTTTCATGTTGGTATGTGTCTATAATGTAGTTCATCCATCTTCACTGCTGGGTAGTAAAATTTAGGATTACCAAAGACAAAGCTCATTCTGAAAGCTTATGGAGACCATGAACCAGAAGCAATGGACATCAGATATTCCAGCAGCAACCCTGTGTGTGGAGTTAACATTTCTAAGGACTGAAGGAAAAAAAACTTCGAACTTAAGAATTTCACGTCTAGCCACCCAAATGACCCCATTTAAATACTGGGATGAAGTAGTTGACTCAGGAGGAGACAAACCCAGGAGGCGCTGTAGGAGATGATAGAGGGCAAGGTGAGCAGTAAATACCTTGGTAAACCTGCTGTCTTGGCCCATTTTGGCTGCACAGAAAACCATAGACTGGGTGGCTTCGAAACAAACATTTCTCAAGGTTTTGGAGGCTGGAAGTCACGGCTCCAGCAGGTGCAGTGTCTGGTGAGGACCTGTCTCCCCGTCCATGGATGGCCATCCTCACTGTGTCTTCACATGGTGGAAGAGGCAAAGGATCTCTCTTTGGGGCCTCCTTGGTGAGGCCACTAATCCCACTCGTGAGGGATTCACCAATCCCACCTCATGACCTAATCACCCGAAAGGCTCCACCTCCTAAAACTGTCACTTTGGGGAGTAAATTTTATTATGAACTGGGGAGAGGGGCATGGTCTATAGCACGTGGTCTCAAATTGTAATTGAAGGCCGTATGAACTTGGTGTTGGGGGAAAAGAGAAACATGTCCAAATGCACCAATAACAATAAATGAACTAAACTTGCCAATTAAAAGATAGGTGTTAGGACACACACAACAAAATCCTGGTTTATGTTTACAATACTGGAGTTCGAAAGTGTGGCTCTGTTGAAGGCTGCAAGATCTGTTCAGGGTTTGGTAACATCTTAGAAACTTCAGGTGAAAAAGTTTCTAAACAATTAGATGGTTATTTTATGTGTGTTGAATCTAATACTAAAATAGCTTGCCTGTATTTTACATGTCTGTTAAGCCCAGAATTTTATTAATCTTTTAAGGCATATTTTTCAAAAGTCTTAGGCTATAATGGTTTGGGGAAAACAAAAAATCCTTCACCACAGATAGGCTTAAGAGCACCATTTACAAGAAACTGGTTTATGAAAGGATGTGCAAAGTTGACAGTAAAAGGATGGGGGGAAAATCACATGGGACAAATACAAACCATTATATTTTCACACAAAATCTGAGACAAAGCTTTGTTAAGGATACGACAGTTCGTGATGTAATGATGGAAAGGTTCAATTTACGAAGAGTCATTAATTTTACACAGCCTCAAAATTCATCCATAAATGGATAGAACTATAGGAAGAAACTGACAAATCCACCTGCCAGTGGAAAATTCTAGCACTTCCCTTTTGATAAGTCAGGCAGGCAAAAACTAAGCAAGGCACAGAAGTGACCAAAGGGCACGGTTAGAACTCTACACCCAACAACTAGAGCATATGTGTTCTTCACAAGCACTCAGGGATGTTCCTGAAAAGTTCTTGTTCTAGGCATTAAAACCAGCCCTGAAAAAATTTCAAGAATAGGTATTGCACAGGACACGTTCCCTAACTATGCACAATTAAAGTGTAAGGTAATAAAAATTTGAATTTACAAGTGTGTATATTTGGATGTATAAAGTATTGCTAAGTAACTCCGTGGCTAAAGGAGAAACCAATGATGGAAATGTTCTTTAATGAAGTGTATTGGGTGTCCTCTGGTGGTTCTGTACATACCTCCTTCTAGAATTCTGATTTTACGTCCACCTTGCATCTCCTGAGTCTCCACTGTGGGTTTCATATAGTTCCACTCATGCTGTCTTTTTCCATTTCCTCTAAGTTCTGGGAGAAGTTCCTGAGGAACGACCTAGGTTACTGACCGGGTTTTCTAGAATACTCAACCTCTTGCTCATGTCTTCTAGTGCAATTTTTAAACAATTTATTTTGGTCATTTTCAAACATACACAAAAGTAGAGAAGAACATAACCACTCCCCACATGCCCACAACCCAGCTTAACCAGTATCGACTCCTGGCCAATCTTGTTTCATCTACACCCTGCAACTTTCCCTCCTCCATCGTTCTGATCAAATCCCAGACATCTTACTTCATCTATAAATATTTCACCAGTTACCACTAAAAGGTTTTTTAAAAAGCTATTACGTCTTAAAAATTTAATAGTATTTAATATTGTCAAATAGTTACTCAGTGTTCAAATTTGCAATTGTCTCAAATGTTTGAAATGTTCATACTTCGTCATTGCTATTGGTTGATAACGTCTCTCTCTTCGTTGCAGTTTATTTGTTGAGCAATTTATTTGTCCTGCAGTTTCCTACAGAAGTGCTGAGTGCAGCCCCTTAAACATGTTCTTTCGCCTGAATCTGGTGTTGGTCAGGGCGAGCACTACTTTATAAGTGGCTGTGTGTCCTTTTATGAGGCAGCACATAGTCTCTCCTTTTGTGATGTTTATAGCCATTGATACTCAATTCCCACATCCAGTGGTTTCCTGGGGACATTGCAATTTTTTATTTGGCTCTGTAATTGCATTTCAAATTAAAACATTCTTCTATGATGAGAAGTTTTCATAGATGCCATGACTTCTCAAGTCCCAATGAAAATATATCCTAGGGACTTTGCTTGAAAGTTTTCCCCCATTTCATACATTTCATTGGAAAGTGTTTCTTCCAATTACTCTGAATGTACCCTTCTTTGGGACTGGAGTCTTTCCATGTTATCTGGTGGGTTTTTGTTTTTTTTTTCTGACTGCTATGCTAAAGAAGGAGATCTGTGTTTGCTCAACAATAGGATTTATGGTGGATTTGGTTGATTACTTCCCCCCCCCCCCCCGCCCCCAAAGCTTATGAGTTCAAATTAAAATCCTTTAGATCTTTTGAGTGGGCCTCTCCTTGGACTTTTTTCAGTTTGGCTCCATCTGCATCCATTTACCAGACTCTGGTAAATGGTATTATAGGTAAATAGGTATTCTTCTAACATTTCAGTTTTATCACAAATACCTTCATATTTATGTGACCGTGTGCTTAAAGGAAAGTAATGAAAATGTACCTCAAGATCTTTGATCATTATCTTTGGGAAGTGGGGTTATAGGTTACACTTACTCCATTTTTGTCTTAATTTTTTTTGTATTTTTAAACTATTTTAAATACAAATTAAATTACTCATAAATATTTCAAAGAAGATAAAAATTGTATTATGGGGCGCCTGGGTGGCTCAGTCGTTAAGCGTCTGCCTCCGGCCCAGGTCATGATCCCAGGGTCCTGGGATCGAGTCCCACATCGGGTTCCCTCCTCGGCGGGAAGCCTGCTCTCCCTCTCCCACTCCTGCTGCTTGTGTTCCTGCTCTCGCTATCTCTGGCTCTGTCAAATAAATAAATAAAAAATCTTTAAAAAAAAAAATCGTATTATGAATACTCAGTAATATCACAGTTTAAGAAATAAGAAAGTCCCTGTACTCTTCTAATACAAATATAAAACATTGCACCTCCTCAAATTGTACTTGACATTAAAATAACAGTTGTAGCCAAATATAACTCAGTAGAAATATGAAAGTGCTAAAGCTACCACTCAGCGGGTTTGCTGCCATTTGTCCTGTATAGGAAGATTTTGCCTTATGAATGACCTGGCTTGGTGGATAAAATCTTCCAGAACATTCTATCCTTAGGGACCAGAGGAGGGGTAGGTTGGGGAGGACACAGGTCTGAACACACAGGCTCAAGTTGAATGACTCTCAGATGGTGGAATTTTGGCATCTGCCCCTGAGCTGTGCCCAGAAGTCTATAATGACCACTCCCGCACCGTGTCTTGTGCCCACAACACACCAAGGCAGCCCTGGTCTGAACTGGGCTGATGTGGTCTCTGGACACGTGCCTGGGCAGAGGGACAAGAAAACTTCCCGTCGCAGCCCCAACCTTCCAACCACTACGGAGATGCCTAACCTCAAATTCCCAATTTATATCAACTATGAAGCAACTGTCCTTGAACACTCAAAGATGTCAGAGGGCCTTTTATATATTTATGTGTGTGTGCATACACCTATGAGCGAACGTGCAATTCGTTTTGTTTTACCTCTTGGGCAGCGAGCGATCCACTGTGGGCTCAGGAAAACTATGGGAATGAATTTGAAGCAGGAAGAATCACCCTCAGAGGGATCTTCTAGGTATGAGCCTCTTGCATAACAGAGGAGTTTTGTAAAATAAAAATATTCCACCTGGACTAGCAGCCTAACCATTTTTATTGTGGTTCAGTGATTAGGGAATGAGTTTTGCAGGTATACAGATCCATGCTCAGATCTCGAAAGTTCTCTTTCCATTGTGGCAGACACTGCCAAGTGTCCCCCAAGGTCTATCCCCCCATTCTTCCATGGTCACGCAATTTTAGAAGGGCCCCAAGACTACACTTCCCAACCTTGCTTGTAGCTCAGTAGGACCGTGTGACTGGGCTTGGGCAAGTGAGGGGTAAATAAGGCTGAAGGTACAACTTCTGGATTGTGTTCTTAAAGCATAGATGTTTACCTCATCCTTGCCTTCCCCCACAACCCTCAATCCTCCCTGCTGGAAGGCAGAGGTCGTGGCCAGCCAACGTGGTCCATTTCAACAAGGACAACACCTGGGAGGGCAAGAAAATATGGAAGGAGGAGCCTGAACTCCTGATAACAGCAGCCCAAGCTTTGATGTGAGAGAGAAACACACTGGTTTAAACCATTACTACTTTTGAATCTGTTGTGTCTACCAAAACTGTGCCCTACTGGAGGTGAAAAACCAATCTAAAATTGGATTCGCAGTTCATACATTTCCACCTACAACTGACCAGCTATATAGCCTTGAGCATGCTATTTAACTTCTCTGCAGAAGTAATGCTCAGCCAGAGTATTAGGATTACAGGGGTTAAGATATAAAGCGTCAGCAGGCTAGGTTTCGTTCCTCTCCAACCCCTCTCCAGGCCTTGTAGGCACACACACATATTTTTATAGAGCCACAGTCACGGCTTAAGTGTTTTTACTGGAAGAATTGGCCAGGCCAGCGCCGAGACTTGGATATGTCAATCTGTACAGCTGTGGGTCCCATCCCTAGTTCCTCTCTGTTCTCTAGACTAGCCAAGTCCTTAAGTGGCCCAGGATTTTCAAAAAGCCTCATAGATACCC